GGGGGGGGGGGGGGGGGGCTGCAGCAGCCCCCTCCCCCAGCACCGATGTCCTCGGATGAAATGGGGAAGGGGGAGCATTTAAAATCCAATCCACATGTAGGCCTTTGCTCTCGGACTGTGATGTTTAGGCTGCCCGGGCACAGGGCCGGCAGGAATCCAGACATCAGAAACGAGCCGCTTGTCGTTGTCAGATACTGAGTAGCTGTTTGCTTCCTTGTCAGGCAATATATTTAAATCTTCATCCGATGTGTGGCCCCCCCTCACTGGGAGTCTCTGAGCCCCCTCACAATTTTGAATGTATTTAGCCCTACAGGAGGCAGGGAAATCTTATTTTACACATGGAGAACCAAGCCACAGAAGCTAAGGGACTCGCCCAAGGTCACACATAAAGTCAGTGGCAGAGAAAGCATATAACTGCAGCTCTGTTAATGCCGAGGCTACCACCTTGCCCACTAGACCACACCTCCTCCTCCCCAAGGTGCAGAAAGAGTTTGCGTGTTGCCCCGCCCGCAGCTCTCTTGGAGAATCGTGCATACCTCTCACCTTCTACGTAAACATTACGAAGAGATTTTTTAAAATGATCAAGGAGCAAACTTTTCCGTGTCAGGATTTGTCCAGAGTTCACCTACGTGCCAGGGTCTGATATGCTGCAAAGGAACCGGGTGAGTAATTTTGCTCAAAACAGAACTGCTGGCGGAGCAAAACCCATCCCCGGACTGAGTGCATACTGTGATCTCATTAGAGCACGTGTCCCGGCTGAGTCAACACCTGGCTGACGCGTCTTTGGGAATAAACAACTGCCAGAGTTCTGCTTTGATGGTGACTCAGTAATGGCCTTAGTCCTTCCTAGCACCACTGTCCTGGCCACATGCAGTCCTTCAGGGGCTATTAGCGCATTTCCACAGGAGCAAAGATCTGGATCCCAGCTCGGGTAGTTACTTTCTGCTTCCTCTCTAATGCCGCGTCCATCGGACACAATATTATTTACGGTCTGTCTTGGAGAGCTGAGGCTGGACAGAGACCACTGTCCACACCACTGCTGGCTGCATTTCAGTTAGGAGCAAAATAATGCCCGGGTGTCGTTTATGAGATGATTTGGAACCCGTCCTGGTGGAAATCAAAGCCCGGGGAATCCGTTCAATTGCTCGCATAGCGCTAGGGTATTTTCAAAACAATACCTAGAGCTGCCTTTCATTCAGCCACTCCCAAGCACCTCGCAAACTCCAGTTCTGTCTCCCCGACGCCAAGGATCTGGGGGAGTAATCATGAGCCCCAATTTAGAGCAGGGGAAACTGAGGCACGGAGCAATTCGGTCGCTGGGCTAAGGTCGAGCACTCATCAGAGCTAGGCATGGAACCCGTCCCGTCAGCCGGCGCGCTGTCAGCACTAGAGAGCACGTCTTTCTCCAGTCTGATGAGGCAGGGGCCTAAGATCTGGGAGCGAGGTTACAAAGGTAAACCACCCTCCTTCACACCACAGGAATTCCCAGACTGGATCAAACCCATGCACCATATAGCCCAGACCTTGTCAGATATTGGCCACAGCCGGATGCTTCCCAAAACAAGTGCAAGAACCCCACCATAGGCAGAAACAGGAGTCTGCCCCCGATGAAATTTTCATCCTGATCCCTAATAGAAACGGCTTAGATGAAGTTGTTAGCCCTTCCGAAACTCTCTTCGCATTAGCGATGATAACCCTGGAGAGTCTCACCCATATAAACCTCTGACCAGTCCCTCTGAATCTCACTTAATTTTTAGCCTCAGTGACAGTCTGATCACACCCTGAGTCAAAGACGCTTTTTACTGGTTTGCTATTTTCCGTCTTTCCGTTTCGTAAACATCCCTCGTGTTGCGTTATGAAGCAGGGAGAACAGAAGTTCCCAGGCTACGTTCTCTGTCCCTTTCCTTGCTTGGAAGACTGAGGTTTCCCTTCCCGCTGTGTTAATGCAGGGCCAGCCGTGCGCAGGAAAGGAGCGCTGCTTGACATTTTAAGTGAACGCAACCAAGTTGCCTGAAATTAACATGCTGAACAGACAGGGGGGAATCCAAACTGTTTAAACCCCAACCAAAGAGAAGTCATTCTTCCGCTCTACTCTGCACAGATTAGGCCTCAGCTGGAGCATTGTGTCCAGTTCTGGGCACCACATTACAAGGAAGATGTGGAGAAATTGGAGAGGGTCCAGAGAAGAGCAATGAAAATGATGAAAGGTCTAGAGAGCACGAGCTATGAGGCAAGGCTGAAGGAATCGGGCTTGTTTAGTTTGGAAAGGAGAAGACTGAGAGGGGAATTGATAGAGGTTTTCAGGTGTCTAAAAGGGTGTCATGGGAGGAGGGGACGGAATTGTTCCCCTTGGCCTCTGAGGACAGGACAAGAAGCAATGGGCTTAAATTGCAGCAAGAGAGGTTTAGGTTGGACATTAGGAAAAACTTCCTGCCTGTCGGGGGGTTAAACACTGGAATAAATTGCCCAGGGAGGTTGTGGAATCTCCATCACTGGAGATATTTAAGAGCAGGTTAGACAGACATCTGTCAGGGATGGTCTAGATCATGGGTTCCCAAACTCGGGGGGCGTGAAGAAATTCCGCCCCCCCCCCCCCCCCCCCATCAAGTTTTGCTGCTCCAGGCAGTTCCTGTTTTTTCCCCTCAACAAGTTTTGCTGCTATTTTGGGGGGGGCACGAGTGTTTCTCAAAAATCAAAAAGGGGGCGTGATGCCGAAAAATTTGGGAAGCACTAGTCTAGATGGAGCTTGGTCCTGCCATGGGGGCAGGGGACTGGACTCGATGACCCCTCGAGGTCCCTTCCAACTCTAGTGTTCTATGAGTCTATGAAATGCTAAACGGGTTCCTGGTTACACTCTCCCTCTCTTGCAAGTGCTCCATATGCAGAATAAAGTCTGCAGCAGGAGCTTGTTAGCAGAGGGACTGCATCACGCAAGTGAACCAGATCTCAACTTCTACTGCTGCTGCTCCTGGTTTCAAACCCTGCTGATGACCCAGGAGGAAATGTGTTAGACAACCATAATCAACCGCTATGGAGGACTCTAGGGTTGCGGAACCAAATCCGACAGGGAATGGACACGAATCACCATTACTATGTATGCGTTTTAGGCCTTGTCTATACTACACCCGATCCGTCCACCGGCCATCAATTTATAATGTCTGCTTAGACGCGATCAGTCGATCTCCACACATGCTCCTGTCCAAACTGGTACTTCACCAAGATGAGGAGAGTTCCCGGTGGCGACAGGAGAGCAGCCCCCGCCGATCTTACTGCACCCAAGACGCCACGGCGAGAGGTCGACTTCAGCTACACTATTTGCATAGTCGAACTAGATCGACGGTGCCCGTGGATGTAGACACAGCCTCAGTCTTCACTCCGACCCTGCAGCCGCCAGCCCTTAGAGCTAGTCAGTGTTTTCTTGCTACCATGAAACCTTGTTTCTCTCTTGCCTGTTGCAAGCCTAGGAATAAAATACCTTGTCTGTTGTTCCTCTCTGTGCAGCGGTGGCCGGGGATGGATGGGTGGAGCCTTTGTACTTGGTGAGGGCCTTTGGGAAGCAGGCAGGAGTAGCAGAACAAGGAATAAATAGCATACGGAAGAACTGGTTGAACTGCACAAGTTCCATCAGAGTGGTGCCTTCTGGCCTGAGAATCACAGCTGTGCCCTGCATTCCCGGTGCACCCTGCTCCCTACCACACCATGTTCCTTGTCCGTGTCCTTCATGGCAGAGGTAAGACGGACCCAGCTGTAATCGGTATGAAGGAGATTCCGTATGGAGACGGCTGGACGCAGGGGTTCTGTCTAGCTGCCGTGCTGGATACTCCAACTCCTGCACCCTATTGGCACCACGGTGGCTTTTAATTCCCAGCTGGGGCTAAGGTGTCACAGAGAGACCAGAGTCCAAATGCTTTCTGAATGCACCTCCAAGGCAGAGTTTGCCATTGGCCAACACAGATGAGCTTAGGAAATCAACATCAACTCACCCCACATTTTATCTTTTCTCTGGATTTTATCTTTTCTAACCCTATCCCCAGAGAAATTCAATTGCAAGAATTTAACGTTAAATGAAACATGAAGGTTACACGCATAAATGTGCCAAAGGCCAGGGATGAAGAGTGAAGGAGGGATTGTGGTCGGGAAAACAACAGCATAACTGTGCCACTTTCTCACTCCACAGACATGTATGTGTAACTGCCACAAGGTGGATTTGAACCCAGGACCTCTGGAGCTTAGCATAAGAGCCTCTACAGCAGGGTTTCCCACCCTATGGGTCAGAACCCAAATATGGGTCGCCATTACATTTCAAAAGGGTCGCCGGGTGGCTCTGCCCCCTCTCCTCTCCTCTCCTCTCCTCACCTCTCCCAATTTTTGAATTGCCTTGGGTCACCAAGTCTTCCTGATTTGTCAAAATGGGTCCTCAACTGGAAAAGATTGGGAACCAAAGCTCTACAGCTTGAGCTATAAGCCAGCTGGCTATCAGCCTGTGCTATAAAGGTCTCTTGTTCTTATCTGCAAAAGTGACAAGGAGTCCTGTGGCACCTTATAGACTACACTTCAGTTAGTCTATAAGGTGCCACAGGACTCCTTGTCACTTTTGCAGATAAGAACAAGAGACCTTTATAGCATAGGCTGATAGCCAGCTGGCTTATAGCTCAAGCTGTAGAGCTTTGGTTCCCAATCTTTCCCCGGCTTCTTGCACAAGTACAGCCGTTCTTGCACAAGAATCCGCAGAGCATCCACACTGCCCGCTCGCTCTTGCGCAAGGAAATTTACAGTACGGCGTGGTAAGAGAGGGCTTCTTGCACAAGAGCTACGCTCTTTTTTAACAGGTGTAAGCCTTCTTGTGCAGGAGCTCTTGTGCAAGAGGGCAGTGTGGACCCTCAGCAGGGATTTCTTGTGCAGGAAAGCCCTGTGGCTAAAATGGCCATCGGAGCTTTCTTGCGCAAGAGAGCATCCACACAGCCATGTGAGCTCTTGTGCAAAAGCACAGCTCGCACATGGCAGTGTGGACGTTTTCTTGCGCAAGACTTCTTGCACAAGAACCCTTGCACAAAATATTCTTGTGCAAGAAGCCACCAGTGTAGACATAGCTTAGGTGTGTGGGTTACATGAGCATACACACACCCCCAAAACGCCCACACACCCCATCTGCGTCTCACAGTCAAAGCTGCCCCCTAAACTACGTTTTCACTCCTTTTTGCCTTGCAGAGGCCAACACAGCCATGAGAGAGGCAGCTCGGTTCTGTTCCAGCTCCTGCAGAGTTAGCCGAACCGTTCACCAGATTCTAGTCCCAGATCTTTACTGTTTGTGTCAAGACAGAATTAGGATAGAAGCAGCTTGTCCTTTGGATGGCCAGGCTGAGTTCGCTGGGCTGGCGGTTAGAAGAAAACATCATAGGGATTGTCATCAGAGCAAACTGGATCTGGACTCATAGAGAGACTAAATAAATAAAACCCCAGTGGTGCCTTTTCTACAGTCACTTTCCAGGGTGTAATGGCTCTTTAAGAGGGAAAATCTGGACTCCGTTATGCCTTCACCAGAATCAGTGAAGATGCTCCAGATTTATACCACTGTAACGAAGAGCAGAATCTAGTCCGCATTTATCCTTGGAATGTAGCCTCCATCCCCGTGAATACATTTATACCTCTGTTATTCTGTTGAAACACACGTTCTACTGTAGCAATGAGAGGCGTAGTCGATACAGGACTAGCAAACACACATTAGTTTGCACCCGAGGACTCCGTGACTTCTGGCACCGTGACCCTCGCTGAACTGCATCCCACAGTTTGCTTGAGAGGCGACAGGGTCACGCTGCCACCCAAAAAGCTTTGCTAAAATACAGCGAGGGCTTTATAGTCCTGTTATTGTTATGAGCAGCATTTTTGGGGGGGGGGTTAATATGAGGCACAACTCTCATGGCTGCGAGACACAGGAATAATGACTTGTCCTCTCTGGCCTGCCTGCTGTTGGATCCATCGTCCAAGTCCTCCACTCACGCTGTTAACCATAGAATCACAGAGCACTAGAACTGGAAGGGACCTCGCAAGGTCATCGAGTCCAGTCCCCTGCCCTCCCGGCAGGACCAAGCACAGTCTAGATCATCCCTGACAGGTCTGTCTAACCTGCTCTTACCTATCTCCAGTGCTGGAAATTCCACAATCCCTGGGCAATTTATTCCAGTGTTTAACCCCCCTGACAGGTAGGAATTTTTTCCTACTGTCCAACCTAAACCTCCCTTGCTGCAGTTTAAGCCCATTGCTTCGCATCGTGTCACGGCACATGGCAGCTCCGAACATAATCTGCACCTGCTGGCCTTGCCGCACCTCCCAGTCCTAGATTTCACATAAAACCAGCAGCCCCTACAGTAATGCCACTGGGAAAGTGGGAGCTAATCCAGACACAATTCCACTCCCTCCCTACTCTGCCATCCCCCTCCCCCCGCCAAACACAGCCGAAAGCAGGGGCAGGAAGAAATCACACTGGAGGCCTTTCCCCCATATTCCCTGGCACATTTCGCCTTCCAACCCCAAATGTTCATCAGGAATCTGCACAGCATCCTTTTCAGGGGGTGGTGAATGTAATTCCCCTCCCCCGTGTCACAGACAGGGAAACTGAGGCAGAGGCACCGGGACTTGCCTGTAGTTGCCGACTCAAGTTCAGGAGGCTGCAGCTCCTAGGCATGGCTTGGGAGAGGAAGAATTTTCCCCAAGGAACAATGAGTCGTTCTGTCTCCTACACATCAGATCAGCAGGGCAACGGGGAATCCAGTCACCCTGCCATTCTCCCTGCCTGTCGGCCTTTCTACCGGCCCCTGGCCACACGGATCGTGTGTAGCAAGCAGCTGTGTGACCCTCCCTGAACCATTAGGATTTTACGAGTGTAAATGCACCTTTCTCTCCGCCGCCAGTTTCACGGTGTGGCCACACAGATGTCCCGCCATCACATGCTTTCCCAGAATGCCAGCTGGGATGGGGTGGCATGGGTCCGAAGGGACCCATCTCGGCATCTCGGCTGTGGCCCAAGTGTTCCCTCAGGGCTACCGGGGCCTTTGAATGGGGGCTTGGAATTATGCTCTCAGGTCGTGGGCAAAGTTCCCCCTATCTTTGCCGGGCACAGAGCTCTGCCTTTGCTTGGTGATGGAGCATTTTGGAACCACCCAGCCAAGGAGTTTGGAACTGCCCTGAACTTGGAGGTTAGAGGGGTAACCCTGGAGACCTGCCTCTGGTGGAACAGGGAGGTTTTCGTTGGCCAAAAGTCTTCCCAACAAGTCAAACAGCATTTCGTAAATTTCAGTTGGTAAATTTATCCCAGCCCCCGACACACGCTCAACAGCCAACACCATCCCTCTAGCCTCACTGCTAACCCAGAGCACGGCTCCTCCTCAGCAAACCAACAAATGCACAGCACACGGACGATGCATGCATCCCGACCTCCGCACCTCACAACAAACCCACAAGCCTCTGACACAAATCGACACACGCACACAGTGCACAAATGACGCACACAGCCCCATTCGGCACGTCACCCCAAACTCTGCAACACAAATTGACAAGCACATAGTGCACAAGCGCATCCCCCATCACACCAATTCCTCCGACACAAATCAATGCACACACGCAGCACACAAACCCACAACCCCTTCTGACACAAATTGACACACACTGCGCACAAACTACACATACCTCCCAACATCAGTGCGTCACACCAAAGACATGACCCCCTAACACAAATTGACACATACAAAACACAAATTACACCTGCATCCTGAATCAGTGTGTCACAGCAAGCTCACAACCCTTCTGACACAAGTCGATACACAAACAGTATACAAAGGACACACAAATTCCAATATCAACACTTTGCACACAAACCCACCAGCCTTCTGACACATCACCACACAGCATCAACATCCCAGTACACACACAACATCAGCTCTGGAGTTGTGCGTTTGTGTGTCTTTGGGGGCCAGTTAGGTAAAGAGCATTTCTCGCATCTGAAAACAAAAATATGTCTGTCTATGTGTGTGTATGTGTGTGTCTGCAAGAGCAGTCTGAGAGAAGGTGCATGTATTACACAAGAAGGATGCTACCACGGATGCTAAACACAGGACCAATGCATTGTCCTCTCTGCTCGTGCGTTATTGGATCCACTCTCTGCACATATTCCGAACACTCCACACACACGCCTCCCGGCATCAGCACGTCACACCAAACCCACAACCCCTTCTTCTCCAAACCGCACTGTCAGAGAACACCAACGACACATATCCATCTGCATTACCAGCACAGCACCTACCCCTCCTACCCAAATCCACACACAGATGACACCCACCCCCCCATCCCGACAGCGGCACCGCACCCACAACCCCACCCACGGCGAGTGGGCCTGGCCAGGCTGGATCCCCGATAGAAGTGTGTTATTCTATTCCAGCCCCCCTTTTCCGTGCCTTCTCCCCCTCTCCCCCCCGATTATGTCAACTCAGTAGAACATAAGAACGGCCGTACTGGGTCAGACCAAAGGTCCTTCTAGCCCAGTATCCTGTCTGCTGACAGTGGCCACCACCAGGTGCCCCAGAGAGGATGGACCGAAGACAATGATCAAGCGATTTGTCTCCTGCCATCCCTCTCCAGCCTCTGACTGCGAGACACCTCACACCCTACACCACAAGGCAATGCCTGGGCAAGTTTTTGCTGGGTTGGGATCCACAGGGATGGGCAGGTGTGGACGGGGTCCTTCAAACCCCTCTCTGCCTTCCAGATGTTGCTCTCTGGTCCCAGCTGGGCCTCGCCCCAGCTGGGTCCCTCAAGCTGCCCCTTCTTGGGAGAGGAGGCAGGTACTTAGCACCTTCCCAGAAAGTCTTAGCCGGGACTGGGAGCAAGTTCAAAAAGCAGGTGCCAGGAGAAGAATGACCCAGAGATGGAGCAAGGCCCATGCCCCTGTTGGTGACCGTAGGCTCCGGGGGTTGAGTTACTGACTTTGGGCTATTTGCATGTTTCTCATCTGAGATCAGAACTAAGTATGGGCGGGTTTCTCTGTGAGGCTCGGATGGAGGGGGGGGTGGGAGAGGAAAGAAGGTGCCTGTATCATGGAAGAAGGGTGTGATTCTTCCATATGAAACGGGGGGTGTGTTGTACATGACACATCATGTGTGTCTTACATAAGAGGAAGCGTAAGCCTTTCCCTGGCTGTGTGTGTGTGAGAGAGAGAGAGAGAGGCAGAGAGGCGAAGCATGTGCAGGGTGGTTGTGTGCTGTACACATCATGTACCCACACTGCATGTGCTGGCTGTAAATGTGTGTTACAATCTACACTTCGTGGTTCCTATTTTCGGAGTGCGGATGGGATACTTTGATTCCACCGACCAGTCGGGGTCTCCACCAGCCGGTCTGTACTGCGATGCCCATTCATGCAGCAACATGAATGTTTTGGGGACAGCAGGTGTGTATTGCTCATGGAAATGTGGTTCATTCCCCCCCCCACACACACACACGTGTGCACACTTTACACAATCAAACATACACCGAAAAGCCCCACAACTCTAAATACATTAACAAAAATACACATCTGGGTTGAGCTGGAAAAGTCCCCTTTGGAAATCTCCCAAAGATTTCCACTTGTGGAAACTTGTGAGCTACTTTGGTGACCCTGGCGTCCAGGTGGGACCCATCTCTTCCCATTTAGCCTCTGATGGCTATTTGCTTCTGCGGGACGGCCGATGCCGTGAAGTGGTGCGGAAATGCTATTAAAGGCTAGAATCTGGCTCTAGATTCCCGGCAATTCCAACGAGAAATCTCTCAGGCCACCCTCCAGTCTGGTTTCACCGAGTGGATGCTGATGCTAAGTAGCCCTGTGCTAGAAAGCTACAAAAATGTATCCACACGCTTTCTACACACACTATGGCTGCCCAGAGACTGCGGCGTGAGCGGCCTCTTTCCTTCCGTCTATACACATGCCCGTGCGCCCAGATTTCGAGATAGGCCATTTCCATTTTCTAAGCACATCGCAATTATGCTTGGGGCAACCAGCACAATTGCAAGGACTCCACGAACCCCCAGGGCAATATTTGACTGACGTTGCCTTCAGAACTAATTGGCATTTGTTCCATTAACCTTTCTGAGGCCTTGGTAGTGCTGGCTTCATATCTGAGGAAGGACAGAAGGAGCAAAGAAGAGCGCAGGACAGCAGAGTGTGTGGGATGAAGGTGGGTGGCAAATCACGGCCCCCTGCAAGCCAGTTCTTAGACTGTCTCATTGGCTCCAAAGGGGGATGAGCAGAACCAACCCCCCGGGTCTGAATTCTGTGGCTCAGCCTCATCCATCTCTCTGTCTCGTAGACCCATTTTCCCACGAGCTGTTCCTTATGCCCGATAACGCAGTCTCGGAAACTCTTTTAATCCTGGGGCAACTTTTTGCTGATGATTTTTTCCCCCAAGATTGTGTGTGTGTTTATATGTGTGTGTGTGTGTGTGTGTGTGTGTGAAAGAGAGAGTGTGTTTATGTGTGTGTGAAAGAGAGTGTGTGTATGTGTGTGTAAGAGAGAGAAAGAGAGTGTGTGTATGTGTGTGTGTGAAAGAGAGAGTGTGTGTATGTGTATGAGAGAGCGTGTGTGAGAATGTGTATATATGAGAGTGTGTATGAGTGTGAGAAAGTGTGTGTGTGTGTGAGAGAGTGTGTGTGTGTATGTGTGTGTGTATGTGTATGAGAGAGCATGTGTGTGAGAATGTGTACATATGAGAGTGTGTATGAGTGTGAGAGAGTGTGCGTGTGTGTGTAAGAGAGTGTGTGTGTGTATGTGTGAGTGTGTGTATGTGTGTGAGAGAGTGTGTGTGTGTGTGAGTGAGTGTGTGTGTGTGAGAGAGAGTGTGTGTATGTGTGAGTGAGTGTGTGTATGTGTGTGTGAGAGTGTGAGTGAGACTGTGTTTGTGTGTTTGTGTGTATGTGTGTGAGAGAGTGAGTGTATGTGTGAGTGAGTGTGTGTATGTGTGTGTGAGAGTGTGAGAGAGACTGTGTTTGTGTGTGTGTGTGAGAGAGTGAGTGTATGTGAGAGTGTGTGTATGAGAGAGAGAGTGTGTGTGTGAGTGTGTACCTACACAAATGTAAGTATAGTTCTATTGTTACACTGTACAATAAAATATACTCTCACCTAGAATTCAGCAAGATTCTAAACCGGATTGGACATAGATGTAGCTACTGAAACCACCCTCTCCTACCTTAGACGGGATAACAACGTCCAAGGGATATAAACCCTCTGAATTCAGGGAATGAACTGAGAAGGAACTTTCTCAATGGCGGTTTATTCCCTCCTAGTCCTGTGGGAAATTCAGCACCTTCTGAAGAAGCTGATGTGGATGGACACAGCACCCTGAGCTAGACAGACCTCCGGGCTGTTCCCGGCTGGGTATGCTCCTCCACTCCTTCCCCTCTGCATCTTTTCCTCCTCTCTCTGGCATTTTGTTTTTACATCCACATTCCTATCTCTAATCTTTCTGGATTTCCGTCATTCTTAACACCGCGCGGGTGGGAGGGGGAAGGGAAATGCCCTTGTAAAATCTCCCCCAAGACAGGAGAACGTTGACATTAAAACAAAATCTCCAGCCTTTTTCTTTGCCAGCCAGGTTTGGTTCTGTTTCCTCGCTGGCTCGACTTCTAAAACGTGGAAAGTTGGCGGATAGATTCTAATAAGGGGAATAACGCTCCCTTTCCGCCGCCTTACACGCAAGAGGAGAGCGCTACCCCTTGATAGCAGTTCTTGTTAGTAGCAGGAATCGCTAGCCCAGAATTGGGGATAAGTCAAAAATGGGTCCAGGGAGTATTGCTCCCTTAGCCCAGGACTTTGGGGAGAACTGATCTTACAGAGAGCTGAGCTTCAAATCCTTGATATATTGAAGAAGAAGAAGAAGAAGAAGAAGAAGAAAAGGAGAAGGAAGAGGACTAGGCCAGATTTTTATCATCTACAGACCGCAAGGGAGTTTAGCTAGTCCAGTGTTTCTCAAGTTTTTTTTTATAAATTACCCTTTTAAAAAAAAATAAAAGGACCCCCAGGACCTACAGTTTTCAGCCACACAATTTTTTTTCTACCATTGTAAAACATTTGTTTAAACAACTTAATTGTAGCTGGGCAGGCAATGAAATTTTTGGGTGTAAAAAGTACAAAAAAAGTGCTTTAAAATGTAAACAAAAATTCGTTTTTTTCTAAATTTCAGTTTTGTTGATGTGCCGCCCTGACTTCTCTCGAGATGTAACCCCCCCCCCACACACACACACACACACACACACTTCTCTCGAGTACCCCTGAGGAGACTGGACCAGTGGTTGAGAAACATTGATCTAGTCAACTGTGTTGCTTTTCTGGTGTGTAGTGGGATCAGAGCGTGGCTCTGACGCCCCAAGACATCCGCCCGCTTTCCCCTACGGACGCCTGAGCGATGTCTAGGGGAGAGGTGGCAGGTTTCGGCCCGCCAGCCGCACAGAAACCCGAGCAGCAAGCTCCTTTGCTAAAGCAAAACATCGCGG